GTGTGTGTGTGTGTGTGTGTGTGTGTGTGCATATATATCTCTACCTTACACTATAAATTAAAGGGAAACTGACATATTTATGATCATAAACGTATTTAGTTAATAATGAAATATTAAATGATTATTTATTATGACCACATCATATTGAATTTTAATAAAAAACATGACAAATTAAATTTAAAAAATTTACATGAAAATAATTTAGGGGGGCTTTAAAATATTTTAGGGGGCTCCAGCCCCCCTAAAATAGGCCTAGTGACGCCACTGGGTGAAACCAAATCAAATCTTAAACATGAGCTCATCAAACGGCTCTGATCGTGTGTGATGAGAGCGAAATCTGAATTTCTTTAATCGCCGGGAGGGGGGGGGAGACGCCCGCTGTGCTGCAGGGGTGAGGGGCGGGGGGCTGCCTGAGAATGGGTCTGTGGCGGTGGATTAGAGGAGCTGTGAGGAGTGGGGGGTGGGGGGGGTGAACAGCGGCCACTGCGGCCACTGCGGCTCCGCATTGATCTTTCCATCTCTAAGACCTTCAGTTGTTTTTTTTTTTTTTGTGAGACGTGTGTGATTTACGACCCGTGGGACCGCCGTCCACCATGTTGGTGCACACGCTCTCTGACAGCTGACCACCTCCTGCCCCCCACACACACACACACACACACACACAGTCAAACCAGCAGAAGGAAACACACACATCTTGACACAAACCTTCCAAAATAAAAGCCAGTGAACAGAGGATGAACGTTTGAACAGCGCAGCAGATGAATGGCCAGCATGAGGTCAAAGGTCATCAGCACTCAATCTGTGCTCTTATGTTGGATATCATGACAAAATAAAATAAAATAAACACTATTTTTTGCGTAAAAAAGCATGAAAATGGATGTTATGGAGCTGGTAACGTACAGTAGAGTTCAGCATGCACTGTCCTGAAAAATGAGCAGAATGAACGTGTTTAATGTAACTTCAGCTCCTGCTTGAAAACTTTAGGCCCCTAAAAAGGTTTACGGTTTAAATCCCTGTTGCTACTGAATGTTTTTCTTTAACAGTTCAGGTTACAAGAATAAAAAAAAGAACAGGTAGAAAGATCTTACCATGAGTCTCAGTTTCTTGTTGAGGGTAAACAATGCCTTCAGATTCAAATATGGGCTGCAGGAAGGCCACTACAGAGAGAGGAAGCACAGGGGTGGGGGTGTGTGGCGTCAACTAATCATTCAGAGAAACAACCATCATCATGACTTCTAACGTTAGAAACCTGCAGCCTGAGCGCAGCTTCAAAAAATCAAACATTTTCTCGACTCTACGGGGCCAGAAATCAACATCTACACTGCAAAAACTGTCCATCTAACCAAGTTTTAAAACCTTATATCAGCCAAAAAGTCTTTTTGATCTTGTTTTCAGACTGATTTCCTAA